GCCGCCAGCTGGCGCTGCACGCGCACCAGCCGGTGCAGGTCGAAGACCTGCCGCTGAAACTCCTCCTGTTGCCGCAGGATGGTCGCGCGTGCCATGTAGAAGCCGCGCTCTCCTAGCAGCGCCTTCATGTCGTCCGGGCAGGGCCCGCGGCGGGGCCGGCGCGCGGCCGGGGCGGCTGCGGGCGCGGCGGCCTCGGCGCGGCGCTTGTGGGGGAGCGCGGCGCGCGCGGCGGAAGGAAGCGGGCAGCGCGGCTGCTGCTGCTGCTGCTGCTGCTGCTGCTGCTGCTGCTGCTGCTGCTGCTGCTGCTGCTCTTGCTCCTGATGCTGAGCCTGCGGCCGTGACGGTGGAGGGGGAAGAGGCCCCTGCTGCTGCCGTTGCTGCTGCTGCTTCAATTGCTGCTGCTGCTGCTGCTGCTGCTGCTGCTGCTGCTGCTGCTGCTGCAACTGCTGCTGCTGCTGCTGCTGCAACTGCTGCTGCTGGGGCGGCCGCGTGGGGAGTGTTTGCCCCAGGTGTGTCGGGGGCGCGGCAAATGCGGGCGCCGCAAAGCTTGCGGGCGAGAAGCCCCCGCCACCCCCGCGGCTTCGCCCGCCGCCGCCGCCGCCGCTCCCTTGGTTGCCAACGCGTAGGCGCAGGAGCGTATCCCGGTCGAGCAGCGCGCCGGCCGCGACGGCGGTGAGCGAGCCGCTGGGGGTGGTGGCACGCGTGGTTGTCTGCGCCGTCGCGCAGCCAGGCGCCGCAGCAGCCTCGACGTCCGCCCGCTGCTGCTTTTGCTGCTGCTTCTCATATACATAAGGCGCCACCTGGCAGTCATCGGGCGCAGCGGCGGCGGCCGCAGGTGCTCCACCGAGCAGCGGCGCCAGCGCGTCGGGCGGGCATCCAGGCATGCCGCCCATGGCAGTGGCCCACCGCAGGCCGCTGTCCATGGAAAACGCCCCAGCGCCGGACAGGGTACAGCCGGTCGAGTAGGCCTGCGCGGGCACACACATGCAGAGGGGAGGAGAAGATCGATATTTGCTCGCGGATCCCCTCCGATGCGCGCAGGCGCCCCTGGCCGCCCAGGCCCTCGCCGGCTCGTCAGACTGGATGAACACACCTGCATATTGACATCGGCAAGGCTCCAGTCGTAGGACGCACACGGCGACCCTCCTGTCCCTGGGCCCCTGCAGGGCGGGGCGCCTGCCGGAGGCCCCGGCCCCGAGATAGGGCGGTTCTTCAGCATCTTTACCAGCTGCTGAGAGGCCGGGCTATCAGATTACCGGCACGAGGCCAGGCCATATCGCATGCGCATAAGCAATCGGTGTTCGTATGGTTTAAAGTTGGCGTTATTGAGATCAAAATGAGCTATTCGAACGAAGATAGGCTCCATGGAGCTTGTGGTCAAAAAGCGTTCCCGAATCTCACCGACGCTCCAACACCCGCCTCGCGTATTACATGCACAACCTGAAATTGATCGATGTAATGTTTTGGGTTGGTGCGGCGAGCTCACCCAAGGTGCTCGTGCCCGGGCGCTGTGACATGGCAGTCAGGCTCTCCTCTGCGCTTGCTGATGCGTGCCCTCCGACGTCATTGCCAACATGCAAGCTAGGCCACCGACTAGGATCCCCCTGTCATGAATGGCTCCTTTTCTTGCCCAGAGCTAAGCCTAGTGGGTATGGTAAACGTTACTGCGTCCGAGACCAAGCGGCGGCTGCCCTTGGTGCGCCGCAAACGTATGCTCACGTACGTGCTTTTTACACATGCAAGGGTGGCGGGGCGTGGCAGCCCCTGTATTGATTGGGGAAGAGCCCGGTGCGCCAGCAATGTTTTGTGGGCGTTTTGCCAGCAGCTGGCCTGCCGTTGTCGGACGAGGCACGCGAGTGTCGTGATGTGGACAGGTATGACCAGAACCTTCTCCCTTGGGTGCAGGACAGGCGGCCCACAGCCAATCAGCGAGGCCTGCAGCAGGCCAAGATTTGTACGCTCTGGGCAAGAGCCGCCATTGCGGCCACGCGCGACGGCCAGAGGCGCTGCTGCGGCAGCAGTCGATGCTCTCCAAAATCAGGGTGTTCTTGCAGTGGGCGCCGACGCCTCTGCATGGTGATGGGCCCACACTTACTTGCAATTGCTGCACAGCAGTCTCGCAACAAGCAACTGCAACACAGCAGTTTTGCAACAAATAGCAACTTTCATCGCCGCAAGTGAGCTGTACTAGGACTCAAGGGTTCACGCCAGCCAGCCATACATTACCAACTCGAGCAGTCTGCCAGCAACAAGCGCTGTATGTGTCGGATGCCACAGTTTATGCACGCCGCTCAAGGCACAGGAGCAGGCTGAGACCCTGTGGACACCTGCAACACCCTCCAAGGGGTGCGCGTGGCATTGTGCCCATGCAAGGAGCCTCGGGGACAGGGCGCAGTATGGGCCACCGCGCTTGCCAACCTCTGCCGCCGTCGGCGGGCGCCAAAGCTAGGACGCAAGCCAAGTGCCCAATCAATCACGTCGGACGCGGGCGCCTGTTTGGAAGCGGCGGCGGCGGCACGGCCACGCACGGCGACTGGCAGCCGCTCGATTGGATAAGGCACGTCAACCTCAGCGCGGCCTCAGTGCGGAGGCTCCTCAGGAGTGTGGTGGGGCGCCCTTCTTGCCACGATGATGGGAGAGCTCTGATTCCCTGGCCTACAGCCGGCTGTGAGGGTGGCCTGCCATCACCCCAAACCTCTTGGCCACGGCATCCCCCAGGCCACGCGTGTCCTCCATTTCCGCCATCGACACAGGATCGCTTGCTGCCGGCACTGACGCTGACATTGCTGCACCTTCCTCCACAGCCACTCCACGCCCCCCGCAGCGCCGTGGAGGCGCCGCGCCTCTGGGGCTCTCCGGCGGCATGGCGTCCGCGATGGTCTTGACCTCGGACTCCGGCAGTGCTGCAACCTCGGACACGCCGGCGCCGGCGGCCGCGTCGGCGCCGGCGCCTGCACGTGCGCGCATGAGCGCGGTGAGCTGGTGCGCCAAGCCCTCCCGCACGCCGGCAGCCGCGCGGCGCGCCCTCGCAGCGAGTGGCGGAGCGGCGCCCCCGGCGGGCGCGCCCTCGGCACGCGCAGCGGCCGGCGTCGCGGCGCCCGAGGCGGGCGTGGCGGCGAGGACATGGGAACTGCAGGGCAGGCTGTAGAATCCGCCTGTGCCTGCAGCACCAGAGCCGCGGCCAGAGGGGTGTTGCGCGGTGCCGACCCCCTCGCCGAGCAAGAGCCCGTCGGGTCCGCACGCCTCGCTGCCTTCCCCAACGCGCTCTCGCTGCTGCTCACGGACCTCTGCAGTTACCGTGACGCGGGCTCCCTGGGAAGCCCGATCATGCCCCGCTGCAACTCCGCGCGGCGCGGGGGCGGTGGGCGTCGCTGCCAAGCCATGAGCGGCGCCGCCAGCACCTGCAGCGCCGGCGACCACGGGGTCGGGCCCGAGGGGCGCGCCTTCGGCCGATGGGGGATAATCGTCTGCAAGCCGGCCGTCCCTGCCATTGTTGGGTTCCTCGTTGTGCTGCGACATCGGCAGGGTTGTCGGGTGAATGTGAGGAGATGGTTATCAGAAGGTGGACCGACAACTGTGCTGCCGGCCGTCATTTTGTCGGCGGGCGGCAGCAGGCGCGCTTTCGTTGCGCTGTTGAATGAGCCCCTGTGCGCTGCTAGAGGTGGTATCCTAGATACAGCTACCACAATGAACATGCAAGGGGCATACTCCTCCCATCATGCACGACGGACTGGAGGCTTGTGCGCTTCGATTGTGCTGACACAGATTGATGATGTCACTGATCTGCCACAACGCGAGGCAACTGGGCGCCCTAAATCCCGCACCGATACCTTTTTGATCGGTCTCATGCTTGTTTCTCCCCGAAGTACTGTGGTGGAGCAGACGAAGTACGTGCTGCAAGGGTACTGTACCGTAAGCTGCGACTCGATTCCAACAGGAGTTCTGCCGAAACGAGCGGATCTGAAACATCAGTTGTTGTCAGGATCACCCAGAATCAACGGCAATCGCGGTGGAGCAGAGGCTGCCCCGGCTGCCGCTAGAGCAGCCGGTCAGTGAGAAGCTGCCCAGGACAAAAAAGCTGGCCCTTACCAATGCCAGGTTCTAGTGACATGAGCATGGCTCTTCTCTCTGTGCAATAGTCTCTCACTCACACTACCCAGGTGGCGACGGATAGATGCAGTTTGTGGGGCTCCCATGCGACAAAATTCAGGGCCCAGCGCTGACTGGCAACCGGTGTTGTTGCCTGCCAGGGCCAGCCGGGATGAGCAGCAGCTGCAGGTACATGGGATCTTGGCTGCCCAAACCCGACTTGCGGCATGCTTCGACCACTCCGGCATGTCAGCGAAGTGTGGTAGCAGCGTTAGGAGTGATGCACTCCAATAACCCTAACTCACAAGTGTGTTGCAAGCGCCTGGGTCCGCAGGCGTTTTGGGCTGCTGCCATGCGGCAGAGGCGGGGGTGCTCCATCCTCCACATCCCGAGCCTGCGGCACAATTCTTTGTAAGCCGGGTCTGGCCTGAGCTTTCGACGGCGTGATGTTGTGAAGAACCCGAGCGTCTCTCTGCACTGCAAAACCAAACACTCAGGATGAAAGCCTAACGCCCCAACCAAAGGGTGCTGTGGGTCTGCCCGTGGTGCAGGAGTTTTATTTCCAGTCTGCACTCCTCCAAGGAGTGCTGTTCATATCTCCCACCCTCCTGTGTAGCAGGGTCATCCGCACTGCGGCCGCAAATGTGTTTTGTTCTTGCAGAGGTACGTTGTCAGATAGACTTGGTTGAACCCTGGTTTGTGTACAGTGATGGTTTGATGACTCATCCAGCATATACTTATTGTTTTTCGACTCACAGCGCTGATTTCCCTGACTGTTTTGTCACCCGGTTTGACCAAGTCTGCATTGGCCCCACCGTAGAAGACACCAATACGCCTCCCTCAGCGTCTCAGCCGTCATGATGATGATAGAAACAACATGACGCTGCCTGATCCATGCATACAATGCAATGGACGAGGGGAGAGGGAGCATCGGCCTGCGGCCCAGCTTCTGCTGAAATCTGCTCCAGCGTTGCTTGCTGGCGCCATGTGCCTGTGATCCCGTATCCCAACGCAGTGCGGATCGCTTCAAACTTGCATACTCTATCTTGTACACGGCCCACCGGGCACGGCACGGCCCGCACAGCGATCATGTTCGGCAGACTCTTTGGCGGGGGCAGCAGTCAGCCTGCGGTGCCTGCTCCGGGTGGAGGAGGCAACACAGCGTCCTCGGCGACGATCAACGCGATGCAGGTTGGGCCCAGACAGCGGGATCCCCTCGACACTCACCTTGCCAACGCCTTGCGTGCATGCACCAGGCCGAACGCAAGCGTACAAAGCAGCTCTGTATGCATCCAATACTTGAGCCCTGTTGGTGGGCCTCTGCTGCGCTGCGCTGCCCTGCGTGCTCACTGGTGCACCCGCTGCGCCACATCGCCTTGACGCCATCGCCCGCCCCTGCCATGTGTGTGCCACTCCGCAGAACTTGGGGGAGCGCGAGGAGCAGCTGGAAAAGAAGAAACTACTGCTGGAGCGGAAGATAAATGATGAGGTTGGTAGTTCCTTCTGACGTCGGTCGCACGCGGGCAGCGGGACGCCGGGCAGCAGCTGTGTCAGGCTGCCAGACCAATGGGCCCGGGCCCCTATGCGCTGCCACGTGGCGACTTCCGCGCGCGGGTCGGGACATCAGCCCTCTGCTGCGGAAGCCGCCCCCGCAACACTCAACAGCTGGTCTGCGCGGCCCGCCCCCATCGCCCCAGATGGACAAGGCGCGGGAGTTCACCAAGCAGAAGAAGAAGAGCCAGGCGCTGATGTGCCTCAAGAAAAAGAAGATGTACGAGCAGCAGCTGGAGCGCCTGGACGCCCTCGTCAGCAGGTGCGGCGACGGCCGCAGCGGCCGCAGGCCCCAAGGGCTGGCCGATACAGTTGGCAAGCACCTGGCTGCAGGGGGGTTTAGAGGGGGGTTCACGGGGGTTGTACCGGGGGTTTTCGGGGAATCCATTTTCCCAGGGATTCAAGGACCCTGAGCTGGTGATGACAGTGCAGCGGCGCGGGCGCCGCCCTCCAAGGCCGTCCTCAGGCGGGCAGCACAGGGGTTGGGTTGCATTGGCATGGGGGCGGCTGCGGGAGGTCGTGGCGCGGAAGGCGCCAGGCGGCGCGGCGCGGGACAGGGCCGGCGCGGCGGCGGCCGCCCCGCAGCCGCCTGGCGTGCCCTTGCAGCGCGTGGCGTGTCAGGGGCGAGCGCGGCGCCGTCGTGCTCTCCCGTAGCCAGGCCGGCCAGCCGTCCCGCCCGCCTCGGCCGGCGCCCCGGCCGTCTTTCTCGCTCCATGTCGCACGAGCGACTGCTTCCTGCTTTTTCACCCAACCGGCCTGCAGCCGATGTTGACTCAACCGCTGTCTTTTTCCACTTGATAATACTGACACGGGCGCCGCTCTTTCTTCCGCGGCCCCCAGGGTGATGGAGCAGAAGCACATGCTGGAGGAGCAGCAGACCACGCTGGGCGTGCTGAGCAGCATGCAGGCGGCCGCCAAGGCGCAGAAGAAGACCATGCAGGCGCGCGCCGCCTCCGCCGCGGCGGCGGGCCGCTCGTCGGTTGAATATTGGGGACGACGCGGCTGGCAGCGGCGGCGGCGGTCGCGGTCCGGGTTTGGGGCGCTGCTATTTGGAAGCGGGCGCGCGTGGGTGGGCAAAGGCAGCAGTGTGCCCTCCGGGCGCTTCCCGCCGCTGCCACCGTCACAGCGGGCCGCCGCCCTCGCGGCGTGGGGTGCCGTGCGCGCAGTCGTCACCTGCGCCCCACGGTACTTCCATCAGGCCACATGCACACCCAGTCTTCCCCTTCTTCCGCGACACAGCCACAACGCCGCTGCCGGCATCGGCTCCACCCTGCACCACCGACACAGCCACCAGTATCACCACTACCCACCACTGAACACCCCTCCACCCCTCGATGACGTCACCGCCAACAGGAGATGAAGATCGAGAACATTGACAACACACTGGAGGAGATCCAGGAGGTTGGGGACCAGATGAGGGCCATCAACGAGGCAGTGGCGCAGGTGGGAAGGGGAGACGGGTGCCTTTCCTCCAAGGGGCGGACCGGAAGGCCGGCGGGCAGGCTGCGGCCTGGGAGATGTGGAGGGCGGGCGTTCGCGGTTTTGGCATCGGCTTGTTTTGGTGCTGCCGACGCGGTCGCAGGGTTCAGCTGAACCAGGCGTCCGCGCGGCGCCCAGCCTTCGGTGCAGGCCTGGGCCGCAGGCGCGCAACTTCCCTGCAGCCCGCGAGCTCCCAGCGACTGTGCGCATGTGCATACGCGCCACCCCCCTACAAACTCGATCCTGCCGCCTCCCTCCCCCCAAAATCCCCTTTGCCTGATTAGCCCGTGGGCCTGATGGGTGACCTGGATGATGACGAGCTGCTGAATGAGCTCGCTGACCTGGAACAGGTGGGGCCTCACGAATGCTTTCCCTGGCACCTGCGGTGTTTGATTTTTGTTTCCCTTGTCGACATGATGTGTGGAGCCGCGTTTGTGACACACGACGGCCCTTTGAATCCAGAGCGGTGACAGGCGAGCAATGCTGACAGGCCAGCAGTGGGTTGGGCACAAAGGCCGTGCTTTCCCTGGTGCGGTGCGACGTCTTGTCACCGGGCCACTCCATATGAGGGATGGGGACGGCGGTCCATTCAGTGCGGCGGCCGCGGCGCGCGACATTGTCAACGCGGCTTTAGTGGCCGTCGTCGAGCGCCTGCCAAGCAGCTGCGCTCGGCGCACACGCAGTCTCGACTCAGCAACCCGTGGCCCCGCCGCATGCCCATCCCGCAACACCTGCAGGCGCCAGCCCCCTGTTTCCACTCTGTCCACAATCATAATGTACCTCAAATGCCCTTCAAACCAAACCCCAACTCACAGGAGGAGGTGGACAAGGAGCTTCTGCAGCCCGCGCCCGTCCCCACCCACCGGGTGCCCGCCTCCGCCGCCGCTGCCGCCGCCGGCCTGCCCAACGCGCCCACCGGCGCCGCCAAGCCGAAGCAGAAGACGCAGGAGGAGCTCGAGCTCGAGGCGCTGCAGGCCGAGATGGCGCTGTGATGACGACGCGGTGACGTCATGCGGTGATGTCGTCGAGCTGCGCCTGAGAGGCCCGTGAGGCTCGTTAGTCAGTTTTTTGGACCCTCGTTTTCGTCGCTCTCCCACGCACGCGTTCTTTTTGCACGCCCGCCACTCCGGCGCGATGGCGCGCGCCGCGCCGACCCTCCGCCCTGACGCCTTCGCCCCAGCCGGCGAGGCCGCGGGCGCCGTCCAGCGGCGGCCGCCATCGGCCGCGCCTGCGCTGCTGCCGCGCCCTGGCCGCGGCGCGCGGCTGCATCCAGGCGCGCCGGTCTGCGCGCGCACAGCAATGGCAGCCGGCAGCCGCCTGACCTGATGGGGGCGGCTGGGGCGACCGCTCGCCTGCCGAACCCGTCTCGTTGCTGGACGATAACCGACTGTCATCTCAACTTCACGCCGCCGCTTGCTTTCTTGTGTCTGTGACTGTATGGTGTTTGTTTGTTTGTTCCGGCTTCCAATGCGCTTGGGGCACCCGGTTGCATCAGCCTCGAAGCGCGTTTGTCGCAGCGGCTGCGCTGCTCGAGCTGTAAATCTCTCACCCTGGCGGCTCCAAAGGCGGCACCGCAGGGGCGGGGGCGGCTTGAACAGGCAGCAGCCATCCAGCTGCTCTGCGCTTTCCTGCTTGTTGCTGCAGTGCCGCCGGCAACGGCAGGCAAGCGCCAGAGAGTTGCTGCCTGGCCAGGGCCTGCTGCTGCTCCTGCCCTTCCCATCCCCACAAACGAACCAGCTTAGGTGTGCCAGCCTGCAGCCCAAACGGCCAAAGGACTAAACGTGGCCACGCATTGCGGCGTTACAGCTACCGTGCCCCACCACGTAATAGGGCTCACTTGTCCACCACAAAACCAGGGCTCAGCCACATCAGTGATTTGATCAATTGACAGCACCGCACCCGGAACCCACCCGGAACACGCAAGGCCAACGCACGCCGCCGCGGCGCGGCAGGCGCCAGGCGCTCAGCAGCAGCGCCCGGGGCGCCCCCACAACGCTACTGCCCGCCGCCGCGCTGCTGCTCGAGGTCCGCCATCGTCGCCGGCGGCCCGCCCGTGCCGATGCCGGCCGCGGCGGCGCCGCCGTCGTCGCCGAGCGCCTCCTCCGCGAGGTATGCCTCCTCGGCTGCCAGGTCCAGCTCGTCCTCCATATCAAAAAGCTCGTCCTCCAGGGCGTCTATGAAAACTGCTCGGCGGGGGTTTCGAGCGGAGGTGGGGGCTGTTGGGCGGGTGTGCTCGGCGGGGGTTTTGGGTTTTGCCGAGCGAGAAAGTGGGGCGTGGGTGAGAGGGCGGGCGTAAAGGTGTGCGGGTGACGTCAGGATGGCGAGGGCGGGTTGGGGTTTTGGGGTTGGTTTGGGACGAGGGCGCGATGGTGGTCGAAACGGTGGGGGGAGGGTCAGGAAGGGGGGGTGGCGGCTGGGGGACGCGCGGGCGTCGTGCGGCGGCGGAGGTTCGGGGCGGTGG